CTGTAGCAGCAAATATCTCAATCCGCCTAGCTTTAGTTGCTACCGCTAAAGTTGCTGAGAATATGACGGTAAACAAACAGACAAGTCCAAGTCTTGCCTGCATACGTGTGACGAATGACAGACTTATTACAGCGACCAAAGGAGCCAGTGAGGATACCACGGTACCAATGGCATCCACAACAGTCAACACATGCCGGTCAGAGTAATGGTGCAAGCCACTTGGGGCACAAGGCTGCGTTGCGGGGCTTTCTTCGTCGAGAGGCTTGGGCTTCTATGGAGCCGTCAGCTTCAACAACAAATCAAGTCACATTCCACCGACCTTTAAAAACCGCCCGACGAAGTAGTGGAACGCATTCAGAACCGGCCCCGAGAGTATCCGAGTGAGGATATCATTCTCACCACGGTTGCCAATAAGATGCATGAGGTCATCTTGATAGACATCTTCGTAGACTGAGAGCCTATCAGCGCCCGAAAGATCCTTCCCTAGAAGTCTACAGCCACCACCAAGGTCGGGGCTGAGTATCCATGTGCGTAGAAGGTCAAGGTCTGATTTTTTTGGTCGTGGCACCGCTGTAACGCGGCTATACTGCTCTGCTGACTGGTCTGCAAAGGGGAGTGTGAGTTAGCATCAACCGGTAGTATTTTGAAAATTATAATACCAGAGGAGCTAGTGAACCGAAATGCATTAATATATTGGATTCCGACTCGAGCCCTTACAGTATTCACGGAGTTTTGCTCTAATTTTTAACGCCAAGTCCCACTGCTCTCCTTTGAATCCACGATGTTTAGAATTGCTGAGGTGCCACCATTCTCGATCATAAAACTTCCTCTCGTCGTCACACTCGCGGTCTAGTTGGGCAGTGTCGCTGTACTCGATTTCAAGTTGGACAAGCTCTGCCTGAAGATAGAGGAGGTCGCGAGCTGCGAGGTGCTGAAACTTTCTGATGATGGCATATTGTTGGTCAGCAATAAACTGAGCTAGCTTAGTGTAGCCGGTAGCCATAATGTGAATTCTTCCAGAAGATATGGAGACGTGGAATCTTCAATTAGGAAAGTGATCAAGTAATAAACGGGTATTTCAGACAAAGTTCAAGTAAGGCTTCTCTCTAGGCTCTACAACAGGCAGCCTTATTCGACAAATAATGTCCAATGGCAGTATGACGCTTACAGCCCACTCATATTACAGCGAAGCCCCAAACATGCGCCCCTCGTTCAATCACACCATAACTGACCGAGTAGAATCGCGGGCTCCAATAGCATAGCCTGCCCACATGAACAACGCAGGGGTAACCGAAACAGCTTGATGCTCATTCTTCATTAACCACCCATTGGCCACTTTTTCGGTTTGCTTCAGTAGCTCGGAACATCCATTGGCCACTTCAACCTTCTCACCACACGCAATTTCTAAAGGCTTCAGGCCTGGTACAAATTCACAACGAATCAAATTATCTTCCTCAGACATCAGCGATTGGTCAACCCACGTTTGCCAAATCCTCCACTGCCCCAATGGCAGAGACAACGAATCAGAAAAACCATCAGAGAGGGGAAAGTGAACCCAATGGTCAACGCGACTGCACCTTGAGTAGGGAGGGTGAAAAAAGCTCTCAAGTTTCTGGACCAGTAACTTCCAGCTTTCACTCTGGAAAGGACGCAAAACCTGTACCCACTTTCAGGGCGCCAGATTCATCATCTGTATGTGAAATAGAGAGGAAATTAGGGAGGGGGTTAACAACAGACTTGGAGGAAAGACGACCTAATGATGCATTGGGTAAATTTCATGTCTAAAGTCTAGCTTGGAAGAGCCTTTACTAACACCTGTCAAAGCTCTCACTGATATCAATGGTGACCAAACAAGTAGGTCGTTCCTTGTTATCACAAGAAAGCCGGACTTTCAAGCGAGATCCTCAACAGAGGGAATTGTATCACCACCAGCTGCCACTATAAAACGACCCCTCTTTCGAACCAATGCTCAGACCGAAGATTTAGCCACTACACAACAAAGTACGCAACAATTCGTCCTCGGCAAATGGAGACCGAGGGCGAATATGGAGACCAATGACTTGGAGTCAGATCGCAGCGGATCGATTTCTGAAGACAATGAATATGAAATTGCCCTACGTTCATCGAAGTCCGTCTCTGAGCTTCGCCAAAACTCCGTATTTGTTCGAAACCGATACAACCCTGCTGGTGGACCTTTAGAGTTTGTGGCGCGTTTCGACACTTGTGCAGATTCCAATTTTATATCAAGCAGGGTTGCAAAAAATCATGGTTTCAATATCCTCCAACTGCCCCCCGCAGATATCGTCACGTACGCGCTGCTCGAAGGCGAATGCACGCCTGAACAAATGGTAATACTAGAGCTGCAATATCCTCGGTCCTTGAGGTTTTATACAGACAGTTTTCGAGTGGTAAAGAACAATTCTTTCGACATCCTTGTGGGCTTTCACACGATTGAGAAGAGAGGTATTGTAGTTCAGCAGCATAAGCATGGGATAGCGTTTCCTTCCTTCAAGAAAAAACCGAGTGATGGTAAATAACCCTGAACCTCCCACATGGGTGGACTCTGCCTGACATAATTCATTAGAGCAAGCTGCACATCGGAAAGCCATACAAGAAAGAGATCATCAGACAGCTCGCGAGCTATACCAGAACATGAATTCCAGTACAAATTCTACTCGAAATTCGACTGGCACCAACAGCACCCAGAGCGGCTCTTCAAGCTCGACACAAAGTGCCTCAGGTGGTGATAGTAACCTGGGTGGAAATGGTAATGGGCAAACCGGTGGTAGCTGACAGGGGCTCACGGCATCTTGATGCATCGTGGTGATCGGAAGACTTGTACTGTTCACGTTTCTTAACAATTCATTTGTTTCATTCTCTTAAGTCATGAGTGTACTACGCTGGATTGTGGCATGAGATGATGTTGATCATCACGTTAGCGAGGAAAGCCGAACCTGACCATTGGTCTATCCGAGAAGATAGATGTTGTCGCACTCATTTATTTGTTTCAAGTGTATCAGGGGAGGAGTCTATCCCAATGTGCGGCGCTTACGGCCTCTATTCTTTGTTTCATGATGAATAGTTCTCGCGCCCATGGTACAATCTGCCACGAGAGATTCTGATGAAAATTTCCCACAAGTTGTAGTCTGTAGATGTTTCAAAAGCCTCCGCGTAGTTCAATTTTCTCTCGGGTCGTTTTTATACAATGTTCCTAGAGTTTTTGCGCCGTCCGGAATCTCCTCGTCCCTTCTGCTTAAAGCTGCTTCCGCGGGATCTCAAGCCCCCTCCTCCGCTCTCCCTCTCCAATATTGCTCAATCCGGACATTCTGGAAAAGCACAAGGCTGCCTCCTGGTTCAAGGCGGGAAGCCATACCTAGTTAAAGATAACTGGGTTCCCTCGTCTCGGATTTGGGGTTATGGCTTTTGATGCTTGACAGTACAGAGTAGCAGAGCCAGTCCAGTAAGTTTACACCCAAGTGTGAGTTAAAACGTTAACAAATTGAGATTAGAAATCGATCTGAACAACCAAAGAGATCTTATGCCCAACTCTTGAATGTACCACGCGTGAGGTGAACTATTCAGGATTACATTATATACCTGACTCGATCTGAACAATTTGGTTTCTAGAAGTGATTATTCTACACATTGCCAATACAGTGAGGAGATTCAATTGCCAATGTACGCCACTCATTCTAAAGAATATAAACCTCAGGGTATAAATGTTCCAGATATTGTCGATCCAATCAGGGGATCTAATCTTTGCATCAACATTTTGAGATTCTTAGAACCTTCTGTGGGGGTGACCTCCCAAATCTGACGGCAGGAATTCGGCAGTTGCAAAATCCACAATCTTCCAACAGCCCCTCAAGAAGAATATCACTAAATCACTCCAACGCCTGTAGGTCATTCAACTGTTTCATTCACCGTTTTTGCTCTCCAGCTAAGTGGAAACCATGTTAGAAGCGGTCAATATTCTGGGGAACCTGGGTCGTGACGAAGCATCGTGATCCAGATATAGGCTCTGCAAAACTCAGATACTTAGAGTGTAAAAATTTCAACTAAGAATTGGGTCATAAACTATACAGGTGAGTATGAGATTGGGTGTCCCAATGAGTCTTGGGACTTCGCAGATGTGGCGTGGATTATTGTAATCTTACCATCTTTTCCCGGTACATGCACGATATTCTTGATTGAATGCTACCCTTTCCAAAATAAGTCTTGAGTTTTACTAAGGAGAGTTATCAATGTTCTTGGAGTATTCGAAAATTCAACTATAAGTGTTCTCTAAGGAATAAAAATCTGAGGGATAATCTGCAACCCAAAAGCTTTTGTGGGTCTTGGTATGCTTTCAGATGCAATAACGTTTCTTGTTCGATCTTTCAGGAGCGGCGTCGCCGCTCGGAACGCCAATGGAAGCTCTTATGTGACTTTGCCCAAAGAGAGTGGACCTATGAGTGGAGGGAAATGAAGCCGAACGAACGAGTTTCAGAGGCTGGACGGGAACCAGAAGATGGGCGAGAAGATGCAGGGCCGAGTTCGCTTTTATTTTCCAGGACGATCGCACACTGCAGCCCTTACGTCAAGTACCCTATCCATGCGCAAGTCTACTTACCTCCGCTATATTGAGACACAAAACAGTTTTGTGCAACTTGAATTTATGGATCTGGTGGGTTATCATATTTGGAGTTCTCGATAAAAAGGCGGTGGCTGGAGTGGCGGTCGCTTAACCCGAGTTAGCGCCCCAAATCTCACTACCTTCACACTTTTATATTGGGCAGCACCGAGAAGAAAAAAACTGGTTTGTGCGCTAATTCAGTAGATACTTCGAATGAAGTAGGTATTCCAACTGCTAATTTTCAAAAATAATGCTGTGGTGGTTGAAAATCTAGGTCCGAAGTTCGGGAGGCGCGGTGGCGGAGGCGGGGCACTAACCGACATCGGAGTTTCTGTTAAGCTATCATATATTCAAATAAGCATCTTCGCTTCAACAATTCCAATCAGGGCTTGTGGTTTAGTGGTATAATACTCCCTTAGCATGGGAGTGGTCCGGGTGAGCATAGGATTCACCAAAAATATATTGAATATCAACTAATAAATCACCCAGGGTTCGATTCCCCGCGAGTCCAAGAAGATTGTTCAATTCAATCAATTGTTCCCATCAAATTACATATTTTTTTTTTGGATTTTTTGTGCATGCGTGGAGGCGATGTGGACGAGCAGTTAGCGAGGTTTCGTGACCCATAGCACTTGATAAAGGGCCCGTGGGAGATAACCGAGCTCTAGGAACTTTATTTTGAGTAATGAGACCACCATGGGACTTGGAATTTATTCATGGGCTCGCGGGAATCTCGCCCCGTCCACTCCTAGTCACAGAAATGAGCTGTGAAGCTGCATTTTTTGCTACCGGGAGGTTGAGCAGGTAGGCTCAATCACCCAGTAGCCATTGATTCGAAAGTACTTGTCAGAAACCCTCTGTGGCATATATCCCGCTTCAAACTCTTGCTCGGTGGTTGAGGTAAAGAAGTTGGTAAGTACTTTAATTTAACTTCCGACTCGGGAGCAATCACACCTTTATTCGGAGTATTAGCCACTTTTTTGCACAGAACCAAGACTCCAAAATTTCTGTCCTTAGTTCCTAAAACGGATTTGTTGCTCCAGTCTCAGCCCAGGGGACCACCTCTGATGACATTGGCTATGCCTCTTGTTAACACTGGCAGAGCTGCCAAAACTCGGCCCGAGTTTATAGTTCTTTTTCTACACTTCTTTTATTCCTCTTAGCTTGATTATTAAATGTAGGTGGCGGAGGGAGTAAATGACGTTGAAAGTGGCCAGTCACGTCATGCACATTCCGAATTTAATCTCAGTTACATCTCCATTCAAACTTTTCATTATCATTCCACGTATCCAAAACCACCGAGAACTCCAAACCCAAACTCCTCCAACCGGTCATAAAAAGGGTATCATCCAGCTGCCATATCCGCCACTCCCCTCTTCACGTGGGCAACTCCACAATCCCCTGAGAATGTGCTGCCTGGCTCGATTGACGACCCAACCCTGGCGACTTTTGACTTCCATCCATTTCACTGACGGCAGTCTGAGTCGAGAATCGGTTTTGTTGCTGCTTGAAGTTGTGTCGAGGGAACTGCATATCCAATCCTGCGCTCAATGGAGGCGAAAGCGGAGCTGAGAGAGAGAAGTGCGGCGACTGTGGAGAGTACTCGTAGCCTTGCTGCAACAGCTGGTTTCTGTGCCCTGCCTCCTGCAACTGCGTCTTCACCACCAACCTCGCAACCAAGGTCGCCAGCGCATCCTTCAACTGCTTCTTTACGAACCGAGTCACCATGAAGTTGCACTTGATTTCAATATCCTCCCTTAAATACAGGCCCTGGATCGGCGCACCAATACCAATCTCCGCAGGCTGGACTGGCTCCCCGGGCAGGTTTCCTCCAAGTGTCCACTTCTCCTTGATATCCAAACCCATGGGCGCATACACATGGTTCTGCATTCCGTTTGCGAGGTCGTGGAAGCATGTCTTGAACGAGACACTGCCCTTGATGCCGGGAAGGTACGATATCTTGTCGGTGATCTGGTACCATGTGCAATGATACTCTTCCGGAGTTGCCTCTGGTGGCGGGTTGATACGATGCCTCTCGGTGTGTGTCGGGTTGAGGTCGATCATCTCGATGTGCGAATGGAGGGTCTCGAGAACGGTTTCGCGCGACACGCCGGCGGGGAGCGGGGTGATGGTGGTGAAGATGGTTTTCGCCATGATGATTGCGATGCCTTCGTGATGGTTTGTGCGATGTTGAGGGAAGATGGAGGGGACGAGCTGGGAGCGGACTGCATTTGGGGAAGAGGGTCGCCCTGCACGGATTGCACCAATGATCTGTCTGACGTGAGCAGAAAGACGCATTGTGCCGCTGATCACGGTGGAGGCTTGGCCACTACTATGTACGAGGCCTATTATTCATCCATCCCCATGCGACCTAGCAACGGCCTCACCATCACCCGAAGAGTCGGTAATTCGCCGATGAATTATTAATTGCCTTGATTGCATCGCGACGCGCAACTCGTCATCTTCGAAGAAGGATGTCGCCGCAAGCTCCGGATACACATCGAACCGTCCTCGTCGTCGACCCCCCGAGCCTCCCGCCGCTCGGCTTGGGGGAGCGATCGGCCATTCTGCTGATCACATCAAGTCATTTCAAATCACAATCGCACGAATCAGAGGAGGGTGGCTCTTAAAATAGCGTGGTGGGACATAGGGCTGGCCGAGCCACCAGGGGATGATAGCACCGAGATTTGCTTCATTTTTATGTCTGGTCATCAACATTTATATCTGGACTCTTGCGGGCTCAAGTCTGCGATTTTTATGCGACCGTTTCTGTGGTGGCCGCATGTCACGACATTGCACTGCGAAGAGGGCACGATTGGGGAATTTCCCCAGCAGCGGCCTTGACAGGCGGCTGCCAAGGTCCGCCAGTTCTGTTTGCCACCCATCTTTACAGATCGCAAGAACCACAGGAAGGCCTCAACTCCTTTCATCAACTCTCCTGGCACATTCGTTTCTCGACGCAATTCTCGAATCAAGGCCTCTCAGCGCATCTTGCTTGGCTCGGTGCAAGTGCAATCGAAGTCTTCCCATTCAAGCTTCGAGGTCAACTTTATCTTTCCAGGGGGAACGGCCCATGGTGGTGGGGCATTCGCATTTCCCCATCTTCTCGAGCGAGAGCGCCCAGTGCCTCTGAGACATTCGAACATCTCGACTCAAGCCATCAATCAGCCTTATTTCCTCACGGGCTGGATTTCCAGTGACGGTCGTGCCGCTTTGTAGACGTCGCAACCCATCTTCTTGACCGATTGGCGATGCCACGATCCACGTTGTTTGTTGAGGGCATTGCTCCAAAGCCAATCAAACCTTTATCAGCTCGTCGAATTCCACAAATGCGCATCGACCTCCAAGAGCAGGCAGCCGGGCTTCCAGCTACCAATTATGATGTGGCTGAACGCCAAACCAATTGCATACACCAAGCCCCAAACTCATCTTCAAGATAACTTCGATATTCTTGTCCAAAAGCCCGGAAAACATCCGAAGGTCGCCAATCAACGGGTCGCCCTCAACTGCCCTAGACTGGAGTCAAATGTACAGCGCCGCAGGCTAGCCATGGATTAAGGTACGTTGATACCACGTCGGAGGTTATGTAGCCAAGGTTTTCCAGTGACAAGGACGCCCAAGAGGTACATTTAAAAAGTACCCACCATCCCTGTCTTCAATTTGCATTTCTGCCTTTTCTTTCTCCCGCCATAAGGCAAGTGTAATGGAAGGTTCTTCGGGGCTTCAAGATTACGTATCCTTCTTCAATGACCAAACTATCTTTTTCACTAGTGCAACGTGTGGCCTTGGAGGCTGCTTTCTGTTTAAGCTAGCCGCGCAGCTGCCAACGAAGAAGGTTCATGTTCTCTGCCGGTCAGAATCCAAAGCACGGTAGAGAGGAACAAAACGTTGTCGAGCCATATCAATTCGATATTGAATTCTGGCCGAATGAACTTGGAGATATTCTGAGGCCAAATTTTGCCATGGCTCTAGACTTGCTTGCTGAAATCGCCGCGCAGACAACCGTCGTGATACATTCAGTTCGTATATTGTATTGCCTTATCTTGGATTTCTGAAGGAGTTTTATGCACAGAATTCTGATTTTGTTTTGCAGGCTGCAAACACCTCGTTCTCCTTGTCCATTCGACAAGCAATTGACAACAAACGGCATGTCGACGCTAGAACTTGCCAGGATGGCATCAGACTTTATCAATCTGCGCCAATTCGTTCAAGTCTCCACCGGCTATAGCAATTCAAATCCACCAGATGGCATCATAGAAGAGAAAATATACCATCTCGGCGACCCCGAGGGAAAATATAGGGAAATCACGACCACAGTGACATCTCTGCATGCCTTTCACTTCCCTTGGCCATACGGATACGCGAAGCACCTCACTGAGCGGCTCTCCTCTCGATATTTTCCAATCTTCCCATCATTATCGTCCACCAAACCTGCATTGGCTCAGCGCTTTGTATCAGCCTTTCCCACTCTATGGACCCATGAGTACCACACCTATTGAACAAGAACAATGTTTCAGGCTCCTCACCTTGAACCCGGGCACGGGTATCACTCACGTACTCGAAAGCCAAACATCAGGAACCAACCTCTTTGATGAGATTCCCGCCGGTTGGGTCTCGAACTTGATTCTGCTTCACGCTGCAGCCGGTACTCGTGGGTCGTCCATGCTGGGACCGAATCATTCACCCCTCGATCCTTTGGTGACGAACATCAGGCTTTATTTGGTGGAGAAGCTATGAAGAATTATTATGGCGCAAGATAAAAGTATGCCGTAATTTTTCCGGGCGAATATTTATAAGGCCAATACGAGGGACTGGAGGATTCCGAATGAGACTCCTGAGAAATTTAGGGAGGCGAAGGGGCCGTTGAGTATTTCTCTGGAAGGACTTGATTTGGAGACGTATGGTAGAGGTAGGCGGGCCAAAGTGCAGGCTGAGGTTGCTGCATCAAGGAGAAAAACGAGATTATGATTGCTGTTAGAGGGCGATTATTGGAAACATATACGAGATAGAGGTAAAACATATAGATGAATTGATGATTCAATTTGTTTCTTGAAATTTTCTATGTTCGCTCTTGCCAATTGAGTGATTTCAAGTGCTAGACAAATATCTTCTGTTCGTTCAGTCATTGCGATCTACTTGCTTTTTAACGAGTCCGAGCCAGGAAACAACAAACCAATTGAGGACTCATCAGTTGAGAAATCATCAGACTTCTCTGCCTACCTTCTCCGAGGTCCTCTACCTCCCCCCTTGCAGAATTGCCCCAATGTCACGTGCCTACGTTCCTCGATTCTGCCTCGCGCTAATTCCCCAGCCACAACACCAAAACTCCCAGCCCCTTTGCGCGTCTCACTAATGAATCACTGACCACGATGGATTCCCTTCAACGTAGCCACGTTCCAAGTTTCTTATGACAGCGGATGAGTATATTACTCCTTCTCAGGTTTGTGCATAGCTTTCCTCTTTAATTAATAGAGCAGGTATGCCTTACATACCTCACACTCCCGAGTCCCT